TGTCAGTTCCGACTCTGGCGTGAGTATCCGCGCTCCTGGTCAACGCTTGCTCCTCTTCTCCGCAGCCCACCAGACGTCTCTGGAGAAGCAAGTGGACCAGCACAAGGAGTATCTCGAGAAGAAGACGTCCGATCTGGATGATCTCGCCTACACTCTTAGCCGTCACCGTGAGCATCTGAGTTGTCGCGCGTATGCCATCGCCGATGAGAACGGCGCATTCGAGCCCAGCAGCTTCAAGCGCAAGCCCACTGTCGCTCGACGAACCGTTCTGGTGTTCACCGGCCAGGGTGTCCACTGGGCCGGCATGGGCAAGGCTCTCATTGAGAGCAATGACGTCTTTCGTGCTTCCATTCGCAAACTGGATACATGGCTTCAATCTCTTCCCGAAGCTCACCGCCCTGACTGGACACTCGAGAAGGAGCTGTCCATCGACGACGGGTCCAGCAGAGTCGGCCAGCGCGGCTACTCTCACCCATGCGCCACTGCTGTTCAGATTGCTCTCACAGATGTCCTTGCCAGCCTGAACATCAAGCCTGACGCCGTCACTGGCCACTCTGGTGGAGAGGCTGCTGCTGCTTACGCCGCCGGCAGCATCTCAGCTGAAGCCGCTCTGGCAGTTGCCTACTTCCGTGGATGGCTCTTGGTCAACGGCACTGTTCCTCCTGGAACCATGGCTGCTGTTAGTCTCGGCCCCAAGGAAGTCGAGCCGTTCCTCATTCCCGGCGTAGTCGTTGGATGTGAGAACAGTCAGCTGAACACGACTCTGTCCGGTGACCCGGTCTGCATTCAGCACTGCATCGACCAGATCACCCGTCGTCACCCTGACGTCAAGGCTAAGGTGCTCAACCTCGAGACTGCCTTCCACTCTCCATGGATTGAACCCCTGGCAGGACCTTATGAGGATCTCCTCAGGCCATACCTCGCCGATGCCAAGGCTCCCACAGTCCCTCACTTTTCCAGTGTCACTGGTCTGGAGATGAAGGGAGATGAATTCGGCGCTAACTACTGGCGTCGCAATTTTGTCCAGCCTGTCCTGTTTAACACGGCTCTTCGAACCCTCATGAAGAGCAACAGCAACAACCTCTTCATTGAGGTCGGTCCCCACCCTGCCCTTCAAAGGCCGATGAACGAGATTCTCCGCAGCATTCCCGAGGCCGCCTGCGAGTACATTTCGACGCTGCGCAGAGCCGAGGATACCAACATCTCCATGCTTCGTCTCGCCGGGGAGCTGTTCGTCCAGGGCACACCAGTTGACATGTCGACTATTATCCCCAAGGGCCGAGTCCTGACGGATCTGCCCAGCTACCCCTGGCTCCACGATGTGTCTTACTTCGAGGAGCCCAAGAACGCGTCCCGCTACAAACAGAGAAAGCACACCCGCCATGTCCTTCTCGGAGCTAGAGTTCTTGAGGGTAACGACATTGAGCCTGCTTGGCGCAACATGCTGGACCTCAAGGAGGTACCTTGGCTGATGGACCACATTGTCAATGGGCAGATCGTCTTCCCTGGTGCTGGCTACATGGCTATGGCTGGAGAGGCCATGCGCCAGGTCGCAAACGGCCAGGATTCCTACACCATTCGGGACATGTCCATCACTACCGGTATGACGGTTCCCAAGGAGAAGAAAATGGAGTTGTACACCCGTATGATCCCCGAGGACAAGCCCAGCGCCGAGGGACAGTGGTACAACTTCAAGATCATGTCTTGTGATGGCCACCACTGGGTCACCCACTGCTCGGGATTCATCCGCTCTGGTGCGGAGGCTGAGAAGACCTCTATCACGAGCGCCCAGGCTGAGCAGGAGTTTGCTCGTGAGATTGACGCTGAAGGTTGGTACAAGGCCGTCAAGGCTGTTGGTATTGACTGGCAGACTGCGTTCCAAGGGCTCGACCAGATCACTGCTAGCACCACCACCAGAGAGGCCACTGCAACTGTCTACGACTTTGAAGACACCACGCACTACGCGGCTCATCCAACTCTCTTGGACCAGATGCTTCAGATCAATCTCGTTGCCCAGACTCATGGCCAGAAGAGACGCCTTGATAGCATTCTCCTGCCAACGTTCATCTCCCGTCTGGGTGTCTTGGGTGACCAGGACCTTCGCATGAGAGCGTACGGTAGCATCAAGGATGGTGCCGAGGGCATGACCGCCAATGCTGTCATCTACACTGAGGAAGGCCGCCCGACTGTCTACCTGGAGGGTCTGTCGTACTCCGAGCTCCCGGTCGCCAAGCGGGAGGAGGTTTTGCTGGGCTCTACCTTTGAGTGGAAGCAGGACATCACGATGGTTGATTCTGTCGCCGAAGTAGAGAGCACCGACGCTACTCAAGAGTTTCGCGACCTGGTCGGTCTTCTTTCATTCAAGATTCCCGACGCCAGGATTATTGAGATTGGCTCTGGAGCAACTGAAGTCACTCGTATTGCCCTTGAAGCTGCTCATCCCTCAGAACACAAGCGCCTGTACTCTGACTACACCTACGTCTGTACCTCTGAAGAAGAGGTCGAACAGGTGACAGAGGCTCTGAATGAGGTGGAGGGCAGTGAGGTGTCTGTCGTGGACATGGAGCAGCTCTCGCTGTGCAATGCTGCCGACGTGGTCCTCCTACCTTTGGCCACTTTGCTGTCTGGTGACCGCTACCTGCTGGACGACTTGACTGAGTTGAATGGCCTTCAAACAGTTGGCGGCAGACTCCTTGTGCACAACTTTGGCGGCAACTCCGATGCCAAAGCTGACGAGGAGAAAGTTAAGCAGCGCCTGCAGAGCCTGGGCTACAAGCTTCACTCCAAGACCAGCTCTGGCCTGATCCTCGCCGAGCCCACTAAGTCTGCCGACCTCGACCAGAACACCAAGATCACCATTCTCGCTCAAGACACCACCCAGGGAATCAAGCTCGCGAAGGATGTTCAGACCTATTTCGAGGGTCAGGGCTTCAAGGCCCACATCTGCAACGACAAGACCGTCCCCTCGGAGAGCTCCTTCACGATTTCACTCTTGGACGTGGACAGCACAACCGTCTACGACCTCAACTCCGAGTCTTTCCGACCGTTTATGGACAGCCTCTGCAACCTGAAGGGCTCTCTCGTCTGGGTTCTGCCCTCTGTTCACGGTGCCTGCAAGGATGCTCGCCCGGCGATGATCCAGGGCACAGCCAGGACGGTGCGCATGGAGAACAAAGCGGACATCACCCTCGTGGAAGCCGATGATCTCTCTATTGCTGGAAGCGATTTCGCCAAGGCCATCTACAAGATCTGCCAGAGCCTTCCCAAGAGACGCAAGGGCGGTGACCTGGATGCCGACTACGACTACGCCATCCTGAACGGCAAGGTGCACATCCCCCGCATGTACTGGTTTGGCTTCTCAGAGCCCGCTGTCAGCAAGTCTCTTCCCGAGGCCAAGGATTCCCCCATGTTCCGCGAAGACGTTTCCTACCTCCTCATCGGAGGCTTTGGAGGTCTCGGTCGGTCAGTTGCTACATGGTTGCTCGAGCACGGTGCTCGCAACTTGGTCTTCCTTTCCCGATCCGCTGCCAGCGCCCAAAACGAGCCCTTCGTCAAGGAGCTAGAGAGCTACCCCGACGCTGTCATCAAGACCGTGTCGGGTGATGTAAGCAACGCGGAGGATGTCCTCAAGGCCATCAACGAGGCTCCTAAGCCAGTTGCTGGAGTTCTTCAACTTTCGCTGATTCTTAAGGTAAGCTACTTTATCCATCATCCCCAGAAACATGAGCTAATATTATTCTAGGACAACTCTACTGCTGAGATGACATACGAGGAGTGGAGCGGTGTCGTTGACCCTCGTGTCCGCGGAACCTGGAACGTACACCAAGCTCTTGTCGACGCCAAGGTTCCTCTGGACTTCTTCGTCATTTTTGGTTCTGGAGGTGGCCACACCGGATACTACGGCCAAGCCAACTACAGCGCGGCCAACACCTATCTGGATGCTTTTGTCGAGTACCGCCACAACCTGGGTCTCCCCGCCTCCATCATTGACCTCGGAGTCGTCGGCGACGTCGGCTACCTCCTCGAGCGTGACGATCTCTACGAGGGCTTCAAGAATGGCGGCTTCTTCTTCCTCAAGGAGCAAGACGTTCTCAACTCGGCTGCCATCGCCATTGGCAACTCCAGCGGAGGCCCGTACAGCAGCTTCTGCCTTGGCGGTCTATCTGAGAAGCCCTTGTCGGACCCCTCCAACCGTGTGAACTGGAAGAGGGATGTTCGCTTCGCGCAATCTCACTACTTCCACAAGTCCAAGGCTGCTGCTGCTGGCGAGGCCAAGGAGAGTGACGAGGCGGAGACGTTCATCTCTCTGGCCAGGTCTGATCCCACCACGCTGCGCGACAGCGCCACCGTGACCACCTTGGCTCGCTTCATCAGTGCGACCTTGAGTCATCTGATGCTGAGACCAGTTGAGGACTTCCCTCTTACCGAGAACCTGACTTCAATTGGACTGGACTCAATTATCTCTATTGAGCTGGTTGACTGGATCCACAATCAATTCCACATTGGCATGACCTCAATGGAGGTTACTCAGTGCACCTCGTTGATGCATTTGTCGGAGAAGATTATTGAAGAGTTGATTGCATCGGCATAAACATAGATTCAAACATTGACAACTTCTGTTGGGGTATCAAGGAGTTTAGGGGCGAAGGAGTAAGGCGTTGATTTTTTCATTGGTTGCAGACACATTTCATAGAGTAGCAGCATTCATATGAAACACATTTTTATTTCAACTACTATTTTCTATGTGTGTTTCTCGCTGCCTTGTAGTCCTTTGCAAGCGCATGGTATGGTATAAGCCTCTTCATATCATGCGTCTGGAGGGGCTCAACAACCACATTGCTCATCTTTGTCCTCTACCGTACGAGCACGTTAATAATCTAGGGAAATAAGTTGGTACTTGGTTGTATGCTAAGGATCATGTTCTGTATGGGTCTTTTCGTAATCATCTCATTCTCTATAGGATTTCATGAAGCGTCCCTCCTGTATCGTATACGTGTCTCTCATACCACCGAGGAGTGATTGGGTGGCATCTCTACAAGCTCTTCATCAGACTCTTCTTCTTCCTCTGACACGCTCTGCTCCACTGCCTGGTACCTATTTTTTCGAAACCATTGCCACTCCTTTGCAGATGTAACCACGAACAAACTTGTCACCACACTCACAATCCCAATCATAGCCAACAGATTCACGCTCGCGCGCCAGATAACCCAATCAAGCAATAGCGCCCACAACACCTGGGAGTAGATCATTATTGTCGCAGCAGACGAAGAATCATTCGCGATCCCTGCCGTCAGAAGGTACTCCTGGTCGGCGTTTCAGTATTCTGTGATGCACGTGATGAGGGGGTCAAAGCACTCACCATCGTGAAACCAAAGACACCAAGTGGCGTCAATTTCAGCCAGGCGATGGGGTCTCTCGTGAGATGGATGCTCTTCATGAGAATGAATGAGATTGAAGTGAGTGAGACAACGGTCCACGCGAAGTAGTTCACGCTAAAGAGCGGATGCGCCCGTGGGCCGATGGATCGGATTGCCGTCAGTGCAACCTGCGGAATTAGCCAAGACCTTGTCTCTGTGGGTGGCATACTCACTGCTCCTCCACAGACGCTCAGTAACCCAAAGCCGAAGCCCATCATACGTCCTTTGGTGTCTCCCCCGGTGACTGTTTGGGCAGCGCTCAGGATGGCTGCTTTATGGTCAAATAGACCATCAGGTTGTACGACGAGAATGACGCCAACAAGCGCGACGAGGGCGCCGATTCTATCGACTACTTCAAAGGTGCCAAAATCCAAGTATCTTATGAGGATCATAGCGATAAGAGGACCCAGGAAGTTGAGTGCAGTGGCTTCACTGAGCTTAAGGTACATGATGGAGACTGGACATATGTCAATAAGGAGATTCATACGCGATGCCTCATTGGTCCTTACAGTAGAATCCGAAAGCACCAAAGACGCCAGCCGCTGCTCTCAAGGCCAGCAGCGGCCTCAACTCCGGTAGACCCCATGGAAAGCTGGGTGCCTGTGTGCGCCATAGGACGATTGTGGCGCCGATGCCGGTAATGAAGAAACGAACGAAGAGGACTTGGAATGGGTGGATGGGTTCCTCGCCAGTCTCTAGGAGCTTGGCCAAGCCATTGAGAGCTGCCGCTGAAATCTGGGACGCCAGTACCAGCAACGAAGGCTTGTGGCGCTCCAAGAATGAGCGACTCAAGCCTTTGTCCATTTTTGGAGGGGATGCATGGGACGGACGGTTGTGCAGGTGCTTTGGCAGGAAGCGATGTCCCCTCACCCGCGCGCCCAGAGCTGGGTCTAAAGTCGCCCTGTCCAGTTCCAAGGGCAAGCAGTTTTTCCCGCTCCGGTCAGAAGAACTGAGAAACTCGCGGGGTATGAGGGGAAGCAAGCATAAGCTTTCGGAAACAGAGGAGGTGGTTTGAAACGCCGCTCCTCGGTAATGCATTGGCCAACGTTGCATGCTTCCTCCACTGCTTCAAGTCGTGGCCCCGGCTCCGTGTCGCTCGGACCGAGTCGTCTGCCATGCGTGTCTACCTATGGTTTTGGTCCGCATACTCGCTATTCGGAAGTGGATCCGGGGTCGACCGGATGGAAGAGGATCGGAGCCGAGTCAAGCTGTCCCCCGGCCCTTTGGCAATGAGTGGACTGAGAGTGTCTGAAGAGCTTTGAGTCTGGCTCACAGGTTCACATTTGCCGCTGCTGAGCATCAACGACCACTCTCGTTTTGTATGTTTCAGCATTGCGATTTCGTCAACAACGAGCGAGAATGTCTAACCAATTCAATGCCAATGTCAACACCCATACGACTTTGAGTCCTCCGAAGCCGTCATGGGTCGACCTGGGGCCTTTCGGGCTGCCAGGCTCGATTGAGGCTAACGGATATGTTCCGTACTTGATGGCCATTATACTCGTTGCCTCTGTGATGGCTGTGTCATTCCGCAAGAACAAGCTGTCTGCATTTCCCGTCATCAACGGAAGCAAAAATGAGTATTTGCGAGCAGGCCGCGCGATGTTGGCTCGGGGCAAGGAGCAATATGGGGGAAAGCCGTTCAGAGTCAACACCGGCCTCGGCGGTGGAGTAATCATCTTGAACCCGAGCGTGATGCCAGAGGTTCGAAATGACCAACGCTTCGACTCTACCAAATTTTTGTTGCAGGTCAGTCACCATTGTCTCCCCAGCCGCGCAGTACTGACAGATATTAGTACTGGCAAGCTGGAATTCCCGGTTTTGAGCCCTATATTGCTCTAGGAACAGAGATCTTGCACAACGTCATCAAGTGGAACTTGACTCCTGCCGGAATCTGTAAGCTGGTCTGTTACCGTCATTGTTATCAGTTGCTGAACTGTGGCAGCCAAGCTAAACAAGCCATTGTCCGACGAGGCCGATGCGGCTTTGAGAGACATCTTGACCGATAACGAAGGTATGCATCTATTTCCGGAGAGTATTTGCACGATATCTAATTAGCAAAACCACAGAATGGCACGAGGTCCTGCTCGGCGATGTTCTCATTCGTATCGTGGCCCGCGTGTCCTCCGTCATCTTCCTTGGCCCGGAGCTGTGCCGCAACCCAGATTGGCTGAAGATCACGGTCAACTACACGAACACCGCCACCAACGCAGCAAAGGTTCTCCGCCGTTGGCCAGTGTTCATGTACAAGTTTATCCACTGGTTCCTCCCCGAGTGCCAGACCGTGCGTGTCATGATGAACGAGGCCCGTGCGACTATTGCTCCCGTCCTGGAGAAGCGGCGAGCTCAGAAGACAGCTGATCCCAGCCTCGAATTCCACGACGCTCTGGACTGGTATGAGTCGGCTGCGAAGAAGATGGGCGTCGAATACGATCCCGCTGCTCAGCAGCTGGGTCTGTCCGTGTCTGCGATCCTGACTAGCAACGACCTCATGTCGCAGAGTATCATGGACCTGTGCAAAAACCCCGACATGTTCGAGCCCCTCCGAAACGAAATTCGGTCAGTCCTTGGAGATGGCGGCTGGAAGCCAACGACTCTCTACAGCATGAAGCTACTTGATAGTGTTCTGAAGGAAACCTTGCGCTTGAAGCCTGTTGCAGCTGGTAAGTTCGTCGTCATCATCCTATCCTTTGTTTGACAGGTTCGGGCATTTCCAAACTGGGCGTTTCCATTTCCCGACGAACTGGGCAGGTGTCTTCGGAGCTTGGTTGGATTGGTTTTTTGCTAACGATCTCACAGTTGGTCTAGGTCGTCGAGTCATGTCAGAGGTACGCCTGCAGGACGGCACTCTCCTCCCCAGGGAATCTGGAATCGCCGTTTCAGCCGAGAAAATGTGGGATCCGGAGATCTATCAAAACCCCCGAGATTTCGATGGGTACCGCTTCCTGCGCATGCGAGAAGCTTCGGAGCAGGGTGAGAAGACGGCTCAGCTAGTAAGCACTTCGCCTGAACATCTTGGCTTCGGTTTGGGCATCCACGCCTGCCCCGGCCGCTTCTTCGGCGCCAACACAGTAAAGCTAGTCATGTGCCATTTGCTGCTCAAGTATGACATAAAGTTGGCCGAGAACAGCAACACGAACCCCATGGAATTTGGGTTCTCAATGCTGGCCAATCCCTTTGTCAAGGTGCTTGTCAGGCGCAGGAAAGAGGAGGTGCACTTTTAAACTTCTGTGGTCCACATGGCTTGAACGTTGTTTGCCGCCGTAGTTGGGATTGTTTAAGGGGGGCGCAGGGGTTGAGCAGGATTAGAACGCAGGGTGTAGAAACAAGACTATTCCTCACTTGGGGTCTTCCAAAGTGTAAACGAACTCGCAGTTGCACCTATCAGTGATTAGTGTCGGCTTGGCCCGTCTTGGCCGTTGGTAACATACTATCTGTGTCGCGTATCTTGAGGCCCTAAGCCGGGGTGTCTCGGCCCAGATGAGCAGTATTGTGATATCTGATATCCTGCGTGGCAAGCTGAAATGACATTCACAACTGCCGTTGTCAAGCGGCTGAGCCCCTTCTAAGCGAGCGGCTAACATTTCTGCCAAGGACGTGACGATCCTTCTGAAAGATGATAATCATGCGACTTCGGCATCGCTTTTCGGCATTGTTGAGGTACGATATGAATGGCAATCTGGATGATGGGAAGTTCATTCGTATTCGCTATCCATGCAATCGTTGATCTCATTCTGGTCTAATGCCGTCGTTGCGTTGCTTGCTATGCCTGTGAAAATGCCCCAAGAAAATCTAACTAGCTCTCACTACTTGAATCAACTCCAGATAATGATCCATCAACGATGCTTCATCGCTCTCGAGGCTAAGCCTTCCGAAAAGACCGCCACAAATTGCAAGATAAGGCATGGCTGCCTTGCGATTTCCCTTTTCACCATTCATGAGATAGTACACGATGAAGCAGAGGGAGACCAGAAGAAGATGGCCCATGTCTCCCCACCGTGTGCTTGGCGAACCAATGTCCCTGGCTTGGTTAGTTTCATACACGCAGTGTGATGTGAACAGGCAATATACCTTTCGAGTCCCTTCTCCCAGAATAGACCGCTGTTTGCCAACTTCACCACGGCGAAGGCCGATTCGGCACAGCGCTCCAAGCACCTGTCCCGCATCTGCCCGGCTACTCCTGCCATTTCTCCGTCTTCCGATGACAAGGGTGTAATCCAGGGGCAGTGCACAAAGAAGACAGCCCGGTGATACATGCAGAACACGCGGAAGGCCTTCCTCAACTGCCGTTCGTCCTTGATCCCCTGAAGCGTCTTGGCGTTGTGCGCCTCGTTCAGAGGAGCCGGGAGTCCCGTCACCCACTCGTTGAGGACGTGGCAGCTGGCTTGCAGACGGTCCCGTCGGTCGTATGCTGAGGTCGACTTGTTCAGTGCACGCGGGCTGTACTGGAACTTGAGCACCGAGTGGAGTAACTCGGAAAACGTGTATGACACAGCGATCATATCATCGCCGCGGTCGAACGAGGGAAACTGACTACCCCAGCCAAGATCGAGAATCTGAGCAGCGTTAGCGAAAGGGGTGCTCCACATTTGATCGTCTCGGTGGAAGACTCACAGGAAGCATTCCATGATGAATAGCATACTCAGTTTCCAAACTGTAAAGAAACCATACGCTGCGCTGTGCCAATTCTTGCTCTTGCTGGCTCATGTTCGGCTGCTGGCCCCTTGCGGAGTGGACCAAGCGAAGGTCCCTCGCACAGCAAACTGCTCCCGTGATCTTTTCCCAAACAAGCGACTCATCACACATGCATGCAATGACGGCCTGTAGTATGTCAGTAAACTGATCCCAAAGTGAACTGCAGCGTGTGCTGTCGCACCATGAGAAGCGTTGCCTGGAGCTTCAGTAAGCTGTTTGGGCAACCTTGAATGGTCTTGTAAAGACCTAACGCTGTTCCAAGCCGCCTCTGGGCATCGCGAGCCTCATCGGGTGTGGGTGGCTCCCGACTACGTTGGCAGGCGGTGTAACATCCGATTGACATGACTGCCTCTACGAAGGCCGTAGCGAGCGGACTGGCATCGGCTTCTCGTGATTGCTTGATTATCTTATCGACTGCTTGTCTGGTGAGGAAGTTGCTGATTCTGTTTCGAATGTCAGATTTCTTAACTTCCATGCAAAACATTTATTATAAGCTTACGGGCAGCAATCTTCGAAGCAGGCTGCAGAAAGCACATCGTAAGCATTGAGCCTCACTCATTCATGTTGAAAGACCTACCATCGCAATAACGTGACATGGTGATGTCGCTGTCTGGCCACCGTCTGGAGCGATCGTGTGGGCTTTTGGTTGTTGGCATTACACGGTTACCGCAGAGTACTCGCTTGAGTCCGTTGACGGTCTTGATCATCTCTGTCCGACGAGGCTCTTTGCTGCTCCGAGCGATGTAACTTGGGAGGCCGTACAGACTCGACGCCGCAAAATCGACTTCCATTGGTGAGTCGCGTGGGTTTGGCGTCTTGTCATGTCTTTCGGTTGCCAGTTTCCTTGTTTCGGTCGCTTCATCGAAATTGAATAGCTGCCAAGAGTCAAAAGGCAAGCCCCGACTATTTTTTTGCATACATGCTTACCATGTTGTATTCAGGTGGACTGGTCGTCTCTGGTCTAGACTGCTGTGCATTACCTCGTTGATCTGTTGTTTGCGGTGCCGGTGAAGCGGAGAACTTGTTGTCGATCATCGGAGACGGCATGTCGAAGTTGAATCCTGCAGAGTTGGAGTCCGATGGTGTAGTGTCGAGTAAATCCATCAACTCGTCCTCTCCCGGTAAGGGCAGATCCAACATGCCTGGATGTTCATCTTGTCGACTGCTCGGATAGGCATCGGGCATTGAGAATTGTAACAAGCAGTTTAAGCCATCCATGTCCCCCCTCTCATCATTGTTCACCGTGTCGTCGGTCGAAATAGGCGTTAGCAGCGTGCCATCGCATGTGAGTTGTTGCCATGCATCGTACGGTGGGAGACTGTCACTGGTGTTGATATCGAGTCTCCGTACGTTGGGAGGTTGTGAGCTGTTGTTCGTTCCTGGTGCGGTTGATCGGCGAGGTCTAGGGGCTAAAGGCGGATAATAACATGCTTGTCCGTTACGCTACATACACACGGTCAGAATTTGGTTCACCCAAAGGCATCTCTCCCGTACATCGCAATTGAGACATGGGTCTGCTCCGTCACCTTCAATATGTCAGAGTATGCTTCACCAACAACAGTGGTGTTCACTCACATCGTACTTTCCTAGACCTGCATGCTTGGCAGGCACCCCTTCGACGTGTGATTCTTCGCATGTTGGTTTGTCCAGAAATGGATTGACAGCCGAACCGCCTGGAAGTCTTCTAGAATGTTGAGGCGAAAGCTAACAGAAAGTTGAGCAGAATGCCGACGGCATATGGCCTCGCGACTTGACGGGCGGTGCCGTGTGAAATGCAAGATTAGCTTGGTCTAAATACTATTGAAGCTGAGTTTGCCAACGAGGAAGGAGGATTACTCTCTTAAGGTTCATACTTGGATGGATTCAGACGGTATTGGACTTGACTAAATATCAACCAAGGCGGGAACACCCCTCCATGGGATGGTTCCCGTGGCATGGTTTCTGTCAACGACGGGGACCCTGTGCCCATGTTGTTCAAGCGTGTCCAAGCTTCTCCAGCTCTAGAGTCTAACTACAGACCTACAGACCCTAAGAAGCTGATGTTTCGCCCGGGACCAGCTCTCCAAGATTCCCAAGGGTAGCTCTCTCAACAGGCAATGAGCGGTTCTCTCGGTGTTGTGATAGCCATGCGGTTATTTTTTTTTTTTTTAACTTTCAATTCCCCTCACCGCGTAACGCTGAGCTGGTTTCGCGCCAATTACCTGGCATGTCTAGAAGGTGTTATGCTTTGTGGATGACTCGCCCAACCCTTGACCTCCCTAGACACCGGTGGCATGGATAAGGAAACCCCAGAGTCTGGTTCCAACCCCTCAGGACCCCCCCAAAAAACCGCTCGGGCAGTCTGAATCTGTATCCACGGAGCCCACTCATTTCGCATCTACCCGCTCACATTGAGCACGCAAGATTCTGCAAATCAAGTATGGGACAGATTTTGCCAAGATAGCAACTCAAATAAAGTCTCTAGAAAACCAATGGTTTCATTTTTCGTCCCGCCCCGCCTGCTGTCTTGGATAGTACTACGCAGCTAACTCTCAAGCTGACGTTGAGTCAGGCACAGCGAAACAACACTGACAAACTTCCACTAGCATTACCAGCGCCAAATCTTAACTCTCAGAGTTGCGTGGCAGCTCGGTGGTAGCCAGAAGAAGCGGTTATATGCTCGATCAACGCGCGTATTTAGGATGACCTGACAAACAACACCTCAAACCTTAAACCAATGCAACCGTGAATTGAGTCAGGCCCCTGGAGCATCTCAATACGCTCCGACTCGGTCCATGGTCCAGCATCTCGCTTCATCCTAATCCCGCCGGTGCCGAGAGTGAGTGGGATACCCTGTGAATCTTCAACTAGCACTTTGCTCGGCTTGTGATAGCGAATGCGTCGGACTGGAGTTCCGGAACCGAACATCATCAGTCCAAGACTTCATACCGACTGCAGCAATAATAAGACTCAGTGGACCCCTTGCTCAAGACCAATACAACAGCCTGCTTACGAACACTTGGAATCACTGCCCGCCGCCGCCGGCTCGCCTCACTTTCCATTCTCAATCGAGATCAGGCTGCCCCAAGCGCCTCGAAAACACCTAACACCGACCCCCCACGCCGCTGTCCCTTGTCAACAATGACCACACCCCTCACGACCCATCAGCCAGATGTCAACAATCCGCCCAAGATGGCCATTGCTAAAGAGGCGAAGCACTATGTCGATCACAGGCCGCCTTACCCGGACTCAATGTGGAAGCTCTGGACGAGTTACCATCAAGGACCTCTTACAAGCGCTCACGACATTGGCTCGGGCAGCGGAAACGGTGCCGAAGGACTATTGACGCACACAACTCCACCGCTGAAGCATGTTGTGCTTACCGAACCGCGAGAGATCAACATCGCGGACTGCCGTGCTCGGTTCAAAGACCGCTTCCCCGGGACCGAATTCTCGTACCGAACCTGTCGTGGCGAAGACCCCTGGGATCCACCCGCCGGACTGGAGCACGTCGACTTTGCAATGGCGTGCGAATCGATCCACTGGACTGTCCTCGGACCAACCACGGATAACATTGCAAAGAGCCTCCGACCCGGTGGGACGTTTGCAGCTGTCATCTACGGACCGTTTCCAGGAATCACCAACAACAAGCTCGCCAATGCAGCTTTCAAGGGTTTCATTGGGGAACATGCCGCGCATTTGCTCAAGCAAGAGTGGATGACTGAAAACTGGAAGCGTGCTGCGCGTCAAATGTTTCACGGCATGGACTGCGTGCCACTTCTAGATGATGTGTGGCAGGATGTGAAGCGAGTTGAGGTGAACTGTCGGGACGGGTGGTATGCCAAGGACTACGAGCCAATGGAGGGCACAGAGGATCCGGTCGCCCACTTGGGAACTTCAGAGCGTGTCTCCATTGACGATAACGAGGATTGGCAAATTTCAGCCACGGTTGAGTGGCTAAAGCAATCCCTGGAGTCAATGCGTTTTGGGTTTACGGAGGATTCCTGGAATTCACCAAAGTGGAAGGAGATTGAACAAGCGGTGGGAGACGGGCCATTGGAGTTGCAATGGCAGGTTCACATGATACTCGCTAGAAAGAGGGGTTGAGCATTAAGAAGCTCTACAGGGTATGTTTGACCAGGTTCAAGCTTGTGTGAATGTACAGGCCATCCCGCCATTATCCATAATTACGGGAGAGCGGAAGAGAAAAGTGGCATATTTAGAAGTGCGGAAACAACATCCATGAATCCATAACATACTGTAAAAGAAAACATGACTTAGATTATGCTACAGAAAGAACTCGAGAGGCAAGCTAACAGTTTCGCCTTTGGCTTTTGGTATTTCCCGAGCAACTCGCATTCGGTCGATCGATGCACGCAACTAGTCTGAAGCAGCTGACCATAGCTCTACGAAAGTTCCCAACTCTCGGTGCAATAGAAATAGCGAGCAGCTTTTCCTATGCACAAGCCCTGATTGGACGGTTTTCGAATCGTTCTCCCGTGTTCCTACCGCCACTAGAGAGCTTGGAACACATTGTGCCACTTCTTCATCGAAAAGGCGGCCTGCCCCTCGGAAACTGCAGGTGGGCTAAGGGACCAGCCAGGGTGTTGACACCAAATTCGGATCAATCCGCCGAGTGGGAAAAAAGCTTATTTCAACTCTTTGATAGGTAGCCTGAGTAGTTTTGCTCGCTGAAACTGGGGTCGAGGAGAAAACACGCAGAGCACGATTCATGTGTCCTCCAGTGTCCCTCGTTGTGGGGTTGTGGACCGTTGTCTCTTTATCTGGAGTTGCTTGAAGATCGGGGGCAGGGGAGTAACGCCGAATAGTCTGGGGAGACTGGAGTATTACAAGTGGGCAAATCCACGTGTCAAGGGGTGTTCTCAAACCGTTGACCATGTTTTCTGGGCAAATTGATACGAAAGCACCAATTAATGGTATTGAGTGAAGAATTGACCGGTGAAGCTGCATTACATAATGATTGGCAATAATATTGCTCTTATTAGGTGGTATTCGACGAATACACATATTTTTGGGGTCGCCTTTGGGAGATGTGATAGTTACAGTTGAAGGTCGCCCTTGTCTGAACTTTAACCAGAGTATCCGCATGGCCGGTACAGTCTGAATGCGCGATCGCAATAGCCGCGGCCCAAAGAGCTGTGGAATCATCCTGAATCATTAGTTCGCACACTAGAGAGTCAACGTTCGATACAGTTTATCAAGTTATTTCAGAATCATTTAGCATGGCCCCGGCTCCCGCCTCATCTTGAAGAGCCTCGCCGGAAGCACTGACGCATTGTTTGACATCACGGCACAGCCGTAGTGTTATGGAGCCGCGGAGATCTACATAGCCCACTTAGTGTGGTGAGTCCGAGTCAGTCTAAGGTCAATGACGGTAATCGAGATGTGTACGAGGAGATACTGTCGAGTTGAACTCAGGCATTGTGAAATAAACAGAAAGCGGGTAAAAGATGATGCACAATATTGTTGGGTGGGCATAGCCGAAGGAACACTGGATGCGACAACATGGAGACGGTACTGTTTGTAGTATCGCATCACGGAAGAAACCTTTTGCAAGGGAATCATGGGCTTACATTGAATTCTCCACGGCGAAATTAATTGACTTATTTAAGCTGCAGCTGTACCGGTGGCATATGCCGAACACACATTCTTCATTGGGTATCAGTGATTGTCTAATGCTCTGTCATACGGGGGAGTGCCAGCCAAAACGGAATCTGTCAAAACATGAAAGCAGTTGCCTTTGCCATAAACCCGTAATCCATCATCCATGTCTCCCATATACCGCATCCATATTATCAATATTCCACTGCCTGGGCAAAGCCAATTCTGTGCTTCTGCTCATATTCCCAGTCCTCAGGAACATTGTCCTGGAAGTACTCCTCGATGTCACCAATTCGGTACTTGAACTCGTACTCGAAATCGTCGGGAGGGCTCAAGTCGGCGTCTTCAACTGATCGCTTCTGGGAACCCTTCTTCTTCTGGACGTATGGCCGAGGAGCCTCGTAGGCACCCTTGTAAGACAGGGCACCCGGTCCGGCGTAAGCCGACGCCTTGCTCTTGACACCAGCGCTGTATGCAACGGTTCCATCACCAATGGTGTCATCCGTGTTGACAGTCGATCTGGCAACGCACTTGCCCTTGTTCCAAGTGGCATCATAGCTGGCAGTCCAAACAGCAACGGGGTCCACGATCATCTTCTCCGTGTAGAAAAGGCGACAGTTGGCTGCTTCGTATCTGAACTGCTCGGGTTCGCCGTGGGCGTTCTTGCGGGCGTAGGCGTTGCGGTAGTTGAAGCTGCCAGAGCTGGCCAGGGGCGGCAGGAGAGGGGGCTCGCCGATATCGGGGAGAACGTCGAACGCCTCCTTGAGATACTTCGTGTTGTTGTTCTTGACGGCATCACGACCGACCTGCATAATGACTTGTCTCAGTTCAGTGAACTGCAGAACCTGAGCACCCTCAACGCCGCCAACTGCTTGCATGGCTGTCTCCATGGGACGACCTCCGAGGGCAATCGTGCGGACGCCCTGTTCCCGGACCATCAAACCAGTGAAAATGGTGCAAGTCGATGCACAGCCACCGTCGGTTACGATAACGATATTCTCAGGGGCGAAAAGCGGATCTCCCTTGGTCTTCGGG